CCCCGCCGCTGACTGACCCGCGTGGCTCCGGCCATGCCCTGCTGGCCATGGAGGCTGCTGCTGGCCGCGGGCACGCTCTCGGCCCTGCGCGCCGGGCCGCCGGCGCCCGGAGACCCCTGCCTGGACGAGGGCGGCGCCCCCCGCGGCTGCGTGCCGGGCCTGGTGAACGCTGCCCTGGGCAGGGAGGTGCTGGCGTCCAGCACGTGCGGGCGGCCGGCCACGCGGGCCTGCGACGCCTCAGACCCGCGCCTCGCACACCCGGCAGCCCTCCTGACGGCGGCGGGGGGCACCGCGGGGCCACTGTGCTGGCGCTCCGACTCGTTGGCGCGCGCGCCCCTGAATGTGACCCTGACGGTGTCCCTGGGCAAGGCCTTTGAGCTGGTCTTCGTGAGCCTGCGCTTCTGCTCGCCGCCGCCAGCCTCCATAGCCCTGCTGAAGTCGCAGGACAATGGCCGCAGCTGGGCGCCGCTGGGCTTCTTCTCCTCGCGCTGCGTCCTAGACTATGGCCGCCTGCCGGTCCCCACCACCGGCCCAGCAGGCCCGGGGCCTGAGGCCTTATGCTTCCCAGCGCCCCAAGCCCAGCCTGATGGTGGAGGTCTCCTGGCGTTCAGCGTGCAGGACAGCAGCCCCCCAGGCCTGGACCTGGACAACAGCCCGGTGCTTCAAGACTGGGTGACCGCCACCGACATTCGAGTGGTGTTCACCAGCCCGGCCATGCTGGCTGATGCCAGGGACGCAGAAGCTGTGCTCCCATATGCCTATTCGGCCACGGAGCTGCAGGTGGGCGGGCGCTGCAAGTGTAACGGGCACGCCTCGCAGTGCCTGCCAGATGCCCAGGGCCACCTGCTCTGCGACTGCCAGCATGGCACCGAGGGCCCAGACTGTAGCCGCTGTAAGCCCTTCTACTTCGACAGGCCCTGGCAGCGGGCCACCGCCAGGGATGCCCACGCCTGCATTGGTGAGGCTCTGGAGGGGGTCCTGGGGAGCTGGGACCAACTAGGTCAGCCTACCCTTGACCCCACCTCTCGCTGCAGCCTGCTCTTGCAACAGCCACGCCCGCCGCTGCCGCTTCAACGTGGAGCTCTACCGCCTGTCAGGACGGCGCAGCGGGGGCGTGTGCCTCAACTGCCGCCACAACACTGCCGGCCGCCACTGCCACTACTGCAGGGAGGGCTTCTACCGCGACCCGGCTCGCGCTCTGAGTGACCGTCGCGCTTGCAGGGGTGAGCCCCGCGCCCGTCCGCGTCCACTCCCGGCCTCTTCCCTCCCCCCTCCCCCCCCCCGCCCTCCCAGCAACTGGGTCTCTGCCCAGCCCAGGTCTGACTGGGCCCTTCCTCCCACTTCTGCCCTCAGCCTGTGACTGCCACCCAGTTGGGGCAGCTGGCAAAACTTGCAACCAGACCACGGGTCAGTGTCCCTGCAAGGATGGCGTCACTGGCCTCACCTGCAACCGTTGCGCACCCGACTTCCAGCAGAGCAGGTCCCCAGTGGCACCCTGCGTGAGTGAGTGACCCTGCCCAGCCTGGGCCCCGGCACCCAGAGTCCCTCTGTTGCCACCTCCCCATCCCTGCACCCCCGCCTCCCCCCATTCCAGGCCTTCTCCCACCCTCACCACAGAAACCCCGGACCCTGGGCCTGTTGAAGAGAGCAACCCTGTGGACCCTCCGGGTAGGTGGCCATTCACCAGGAGCCTGGGGAAAGGGTGTGAGTCTTGAAAGGAGGAGAGGGGTGTGTGTAGGGGGAGTGGGGAGTCGTTCCAGCCTGCCAACCTCTCGCAGACTGTGAAGCCCACTGCAGACCCACCCAGGGCAGCTACCGGATCAGCCTGAAGAAATTTTGCAGGAAGGACTATGGTAGGTGACCGGGGCCACCTGCCCCTCTCTCTGGCTACCCCATCTCATTTTTCATATCCTGAGCCGTGCTGGGAGCCCATCCCTCACCACCACCTAAAGGCTCCCACCGCCCCCCTACCCTCGCCACCCCCCAGGGTTCCCACCGCCCTCCTCCTCACTCCACCCCCTTCCTCTGAAACTCCTGCCAGTGATTGTCCTGATGGGTCCACCCACAGGGATACCCGGTGCTCCTGCGCGCGGCCCCGCCCCTGCTTGACCCCGCCCCTCTCGCCTTCCCTGCAGCGGTGCAGGTGGCGGTGGGCGCGCGCGGCGAGACGCACGGAGAGTGGACGCGCTTTCCGGTGGCTGTGCTAGCGGTCTTCCGGAGCGGCGAGGAGCGCACGCGGCGTGGGAGCAGCGCGCTCTGGGTGC